GTTATTGATTATTTTATTAATTTTTAATTTTCTTTTTAAGCTTTTACATTACAAATTTCTTGTTTTGAGTTATTTTCATTTGTCTTTTTGTCAAAATTCGTGGTCGAAATTATTTATAAGTTAACTTTTATAAGATATATTTGTACGAACTATTTTGTTTGCATTACGCCTTTTTGAATTAGACATTTAATAAGTATCGTAAGTTTTAGTTTTATGTAATATAAAAGCATCATCGTCTAGTTTATTATGAATTTGTGATTATATAATTATCGGACGAAAACATGTTAGGTTCAAAACGCATAAACCGCACAACATTTTGTGGTACAGTTTTTTATGGTTTTAAAAAATCTTCAAACCAGATTATACGGCATAGTTTGTAATTTAACTCTAAATCGCATCGTAAATACCCCTGTATTAAAAGGGTGAAAAAAAGCCTTTATATAATGTAGGTTGGTCTCACGAACCCGGCCGTATATAAAATTGAATGTGTTTAGTAAAAGTGGCCATTTATTTCTAATAATAATTGGCTCTCACTCACATGCCTTGCTTTCAGTCGGTGTCCCTACTAATTCGCTTCATTTTATTCTCCTTTGGAAAAAAGTTATTCTAAAATAAAAATAACTTATTAATAAAATATATAAGTTTAAGTTGAAACCAAAAACAAGAAATTTCAGGATCATATATAATTACACATGATATATATGATTAAACACATGTTGCATTGACCGACACACAGTGAGCGACATTTGGTTGCGTTCACCAAGGTGTTTCGCGTCCCTAAAACTTTTAGATGTGTTTAATCATATATAATTAATTGTGTGTGTATCACGTGTAATTATATAAGATATTGGAATTTCTCGCCTCTTAGAAATTGATTAACTTCTCGTTTTTCTCTCTCTATATATGTGTGTGTGTAGAGAGAGAGAGAGAGAGGTGGTTTCTTTTGTTCAGTCATTAAATAACTTTGTTAAGAAATTTCAATCCTTAAATTGTTTCATCAATGGATGGAATTTAATCGGTAGGATAATTGTAATATTTTTAAAATTATAGGGCGGGCTTGTTTTTGGATTTCGTAAGTGGACCAAGGGCAATATTGTAATGTGAGCACACCATCAATTTAGAAAACTGTTTAATATCCTGATAATTTCTCCACATTTGAGAAACTGTCCAAATTTAGGAAATTGTTCACTATTCCCATCTAGGAAATTGTTCACACCACCGATATATGAATTGTGTGCATATGTTGAATTATTTGTCGTGTATGAACTTCTGAGCCATGTTCATAGATGAACTTCGTAGCCGTTTATGAACTTCGGAGCTGTGTATGAACTTCTAAGCCATGGTCACACATGAATAAACCACACTCCTCAAATGTTCACAAATGAACTTCTGTATTAATACCACTTAACATACATAATCATTACCAGTTGGATTTCATATATGAACTTATTACACATAACTTACCAATGAATCCAATTTCATATATAAAAAGAATGGCATAATAACCTAAATAACCCTCATTAATTTGCAATATCAAAACCCATATCATCCATAATTAACCTTCCTAAAATCGGGATATGATTATAAGAACTTAAAAGTACAAAAATATCCCTAATCCTAAAATCAAACGTCTTTGTTAACAATAAGGAACCGTGACATTTGATTGACTAATATGGGTTTGTGGAGTTAACAATAAAGAACCGTGATATTTGATTAGAAACCTGAGAAATCGTCCACATTACAACATGACATTATTCATTAGAAATATAGACGTATTATTCATCATGAATGTGTGATTTATTACTAATTACACATTTATGACGCATCCATATTCATCATGAATGTGTGTTTCATGATGAATAGTGCTTCCCTATGCATTATGAATGTGTTACTCATGATTATTATTCTCTCTGGATAGGGAATTGTAGCGTGGTGTGGACAGTTCCCGAATTCCTATCAATATTGGATTCCTGATGGAACTTCCCTATGTGTATGTGTATGTGTGTGTGTGTATGCGCGTGCGTGCGCGCGAGGCCTTTCATGTAAAGATCTTTCCTTTTATGTTAACAATGAGAACTAATTTAAACCACTAAAAATCAAAATAAATTAATGATTATAAATAAACATGGGAGTTTTTGCAATTTTATTTTAAAATATAACCACATATTTTTAAATAAAAGGATGACTGAAGGCACATCAAGGGATTTCACATTTTTTTTTCTTTTTGCTCCTCTCTTCTCCAACCTGTGACCACGCCTGAGATGCACAAGTCTTCTCTAATCCAATATGTGCATACTCAAAGTTGACATCAGGTCACCTTGTGAACACATTAGGAATAATTCTTCTCTAACCCAACATGTTCATGCATTAGGGTTTACAAATGTCCATACATCAAGTTCACAATATGTTCATAAATTAGGTTAAAAAGTATGGAAGGTCACAAACTTAATTCAAGCATATAAATGTTCGTATGCTTGGTCAATTAGGGAATGTGACTTTAATATCAGACTATAAACACATGTGAGTTCTACAAGGTGTCTGATTTGGACAATTTGTTGGATATAGGAAACACATAAACCTTCAATATCACACTGCAAGCACCTTGTGTTGTACTTGTGAACATTTGTTGGACTGTAACTGAAATTGAGAAATGGGGATGAAAAATAACCATAACCTAAGAATTAACATGAAAACCCTAACCTAAAATCAAATCATGAACCCTGCCAGAACCAAAATAAAAAAACCCTAACCTAAAATCAAAATAAAAAAAAACCCTAACAAAAATCAATAGCATAACCAAAATCAACATCAATACCACAAGTTTGTACGAATTTGATCTAACTAGAAGAACCAAAAAATATTGTAGAAGGAAGATGTTGGTCCCAACGATCTACAAGATGTGTATAATAGTTTGGGGGGGGGGGGGATGAATACAAACACAGTAAACTTTTCAAATTTAAAATATATATTGATAAAGAATGATCAATACAGATTTTACAAGATTGTTTGCGGAAAGATAAGGTAAATATAACCTATCTAAAAAATCTAAGTTCCACACTAATTCTTAGCAAAGAGAAATGATTTGTTGTATAAGACTTAGAAGGATGTAAGTTCTTTCTAGGTAAGAACTATTTATAATACTAAAAAGGGATTCTAACTTGCTTTTGACAATAAGCGTATTGTGTTCTTAGATGTGTGTTCTTTTACTTATGAACATAAGTTAGGGTTCAAGAGTAAGTATCGGTATCTTTGGATGGAGATAGATAACATCCATTTATACCTATTGCATTAAGTGCACATTTAATGCAACGCGTTAGGGTTTGAACACATGTCAAGCCTTTAGAGAAAGACTTATCCTTTGCTATAGTGAACAATACAAAAGTCTATTCATAAGCATACATCCTTTCATGGATTTGGTGGGTAGTAGAGTCAACTAATCGGCTCTGTACCGTACTATGCTTTAGAAAGGGTAAGGGTTTGTCCTTTGTGTGTATAAAGACAAGACAAAACAATTATACTCAACAAGCTTCTTTTGATCGCTGAATGCTGGAATAACCTGAAGGTCTCTTTAGCATTCGCTGAGGCTTGGGCAGTCTTCATACATGTGTAGACCAAGTTTTAATCACTAAATACCGCTTCAGATCACGAACTCGCCAGTCTCTAATCTTTAGTTTTAGTCTTCGATTTTCGCTGAAGGTTCTTTGGTGTGAGTTTTGTCTTCTTGAAGTATTGCTGTCGCTGATGGATTTACATTACATGTTCTCAGCGATCACTGAATAGACTCAGTGATGATCGCTGGAACTAAAAGACAGAAACATAAATAATTCGTATAAGGTAAAAAAGAATATCATCAAATTACTTGAGAGAGAGGATCAACAGAAGAGGAAAAAGAGGTCACCAGAGGCAGTGATTTTGACATGAAGGCAAATATGAAGGTGAAAGGCAGAGGGATCTCGCAGATTTTGGTTTTGGTAACAACGCTAAAAAAGATCACATCGCCAGAGTAGAGAGGGAAGAGAGGCGAGTTGGAGGAAATGGTGGTTGGTGACCAGTTTTGGAGAGAGAGAAGGGAGAGGGGAGGGAGAGACAGGGAGAGAAAGAGAGGAGGTGAGCTTGTTTAAGGTTTAAAATAAATAGAATGGATAAAGAGATGGTAACTAATATTTAGCTGCATGAACTGTCATCCAAAATAGAAAATGACTAAACACCCTTTTATTATTAGTTAAATAATAAATCAATCTAATTGAGTTGTGATTAACATATGTTCTCACATATATCACAATATCTAAGGTCCTCATTTAGTTAAATATGGGACCTACATTGGTCTCTTTCTGTATGTATGTATGTATGTATGTATGTATGTATGTATGTATGTATGTATGTATGTATGTATGTATGTATCATGTATGTACACACACAGAGAGAGAGAGAGAGAGAGAGAGAGAGAGATTTCTTTCTTTTACAAATCCAATAACTTGTAAAAACTTAGAAACTTGTCTTCATATGTTGTTTCTTCTATGACCAACACACATGAAAATGTAGTGTTTATACATTATTGTTCAATTTGGAAAACAATCATGATTGTTTTTTCACACGCAAACCACTCCTGAACATTTATAAGCACTGCATTTGTACACGTATTATTTTATCTATGAAACAGCACATGAAAAATCAGTTTATAAGTTTGTAAGATTTATTGTATTTGTAAATAATTATGTGTATATCCATACTAGAAAGATTCTTAGTCTTTAGATGATATTTTATTTATTTAATAATAATAATAATAATAATAATAATAATAATAATAATAATAGAAAAAACATTGCCCTTTAAATACTTTTTATATATTTATCTAACTTCATCATCATCTATTTTTACGTACATAAATTTGCTGAAGTTTCATTTATGATAGACACGAATAGATGCAAACATAAATGAAAGTAAATAAGGTTCATATTCTTATCGTTCTTGTAAAAGAATATGATTAATATCATCGGAACTCAACGTTATACGTCTCATGTATACATCAAACAATAAAGAAACAAAAAAACATGTTTTTACATAAACAAAGCAAAAAATAGCATTGAGATTTCTCTCCATTTCATATTACAATTTACTAAAACAACTACAATATCAAAATGTGTATAATCAACGACAAAACAAAACAATAATATCAAAACAACAAATTCAATTAGCCAACAATCGAAAAAATCACGAGTCGCTCACGATATCGTTCAAAGCGTTCTGTTCTTGGTCTTGCTGTTGCGATCCACTGGAACGACAAATCTCTTCAATATGGTTGGTTACGTCTGCCATTCCCGGCCTCTTATCAGGATACTGAGCACAACATTCGATCGCCAATTGCAATAACTGAACCATATCATCTTCGACATTYTGATMCCTKARYARCTCRAGGTCAAAMACCTCGGARGTCCACTCTTCTCGGACCACCGATTGGACCCACCTCGGAAGGTCGACCCCTTCTTCGTTCAAAAGAGCATGGGTCGGTGCTTTTCCTGTTAACAACTCCAACAATAACACTCCAAAGCTATACACATCCGCTTTCTGGGAAACCTTGCGGATATCCGTGACCTCTGGTGCACGATATCCGTCGACACGGGTCGGTGTGGAGCTGGGACCCACAAGCTGTGCGAGGCCAAAGTCGGAGACACGAGATTCGTAGGATGTCGTCAAGAGGATGTTTGACGATTTTATGTTGCCGTGGGAGACCGTTGAGCCTTGTGCGTGTAGGTACGTGATTCCACGGGCAGCTCCGAGGGCTATCACGGAACGCGTTTCCCAGTTCAACGGCGTTCTACTGGCCCCTCTGTTTCCTGTGGCACAACAAATTAACAGTTCATAGACATTCTATCACCCAATATTTTCATGTCAAAATTCCCAAATATTGTATATAAAGATACAGGAGCCATTTTCGACTCAAAAATTAATGCAAAATAGCTGTTTTTCACCAATTATGGGGACAAATCCACAAATTGACATATCTAAATCTTCTAGACTTTTCCCGCAAGATGGTGGGCCGTATCTCAACCGAAAAGCAGAAGCCTTTGGTTTCCGGACCTTATTTGCATATAGTTTTGGTAGCCAATTTACAGATCATTTATGTTTAAAAAAATAGGTGTTTGGACATCTTATAAATTTGTGCAGGGAAATGCTGAAACTCAACTACCCCATTAAATTAAACCCCAATCAAGATGCTTTAATCTCACTTCAATACCAAAGGACAGTTGTGAAAATGACAGTTGACCACCCACATTCTAATTCAGTACTCAAAATTACCAAACTTCAAGATCCACAATTTCTTGCATAACCAAATGGGTTGTTTCCATGATTCAGGACCATCATCTTTCGATCAAAAATGCATCACAATTCAATGAGTTAATTAGCATTTTGAGAACATGCTTAATGATTCAAACCCATATGCTTAATTGAATGAGGAAATGGTATAGTGAGTTGCATGTCATATTAATGGCGGATTTGAAGAAAAAGTGAAGTGATAATTTACCATGTAAGAGTGCAGATAAGCTTCCCATGGGCATGTAATCATAAACCAGAAGCTTTTCTTCACCATTGCAATAATAAGCTCTTAATGGAACCAAGTTCTCGTGATCCATAGCTCCCACACCTTCGATTTTCTCTCTGAATTCCTTATCCGCCATTGTTACATCCTTCAACCTTTTCACGGCCACCGGAAAACCCATCTCCAGCAACGCCTTATAAGCAGTACCAAATGTGCCTTTTCCCAGAACCTCCGCGGATGCTCTGAGCAAATCATCCAAATCGAACTTAGCTAGATCCTTGTTCTTCTTGAAGAACACCAGTTTCTTACTAACCTCCCCGGATTTCCCCTTTGCACCACCGGCTCCACCGCCGACTGCCGCCGTTAACGATGGATACCCACTTCTCGAACTGTCAACATTCTCGCTGGCTTTCTCATGGGGTATCTCAACTTCCACTTGTTTTGCCACGCCCAAATCCTTCGCCCGCGGATCCTCCTTCTGCTTTCTCTTCTTACAACACAAAAAGAATAAAATTAGCAGGATTAGCAGAAGAGCAAGTACAGATCCTATGACGATGCCGGCAATGGCGCCGCCGGAGAGCTTATTGGATGACCCTGATCCTGATCCTGATCCTGACCCTGACCCGGGTTCTGATCCTGACCCGTTACAAGCTATTAGCGGACCTCCGCAGAGGGAGTTCCCGGAAAAGGAGGAATCGGGGAAAACGGAGAATTTCGATGGAATCTCGCCGGTTAAATGATTGTTGGATACGTTGAATTGAGCTATATTAGTTCTTGTGAGATCAGGAATTGAACCCGTTAATGCATTGTTCTCCAAATACAATGTGGCTAAACGGGTCAAGTTATTGATCGAATTTGGGATGTTGCCCGAAAAGTTATTGTTGGCGAAGCTAACCCTAACGAGATTCGTAAGAGGGGAAAACGAATCGGGTATGGGGCCGGAAAAGAGATTGTTCTGAAGGTAAAGGTTGCGGAGGTTACCGAGGGTGAAGATATCGGCGGGGAGTTCACCGGTGAGGGCGTTGTAACGGAGACTGAGGGTGGTGAGTTGGGTCAAATTGCCGAGGGTATTTTCCGGCAGCTGGCCGGAGAGACCCATTCCGGGGAAGTGAAGCTCGACGACACGATTGGTTTTGTTGTCACAGAATACCCCCGGCCATGTGCAAGGTGTGGAGGGTTGGGAGATGTTCCAGAGGATGGATCTGCCACCGACGGCGGAGCGGATGGCAAGGATGGCAGACCTGTCGGCGGCAAGGTCTGGTTTGCCGGCGATGAAGAGAGAGAAAAAGAAGATGAGAGAGAAAAAGAAAGGGTTTTTCTTCATCTTGGAGAGAGAGAGATGGTTTCAGAGTGGTATGGCAGTAGGAGTAGAAGAAGAAGCCAGTTTATTATTCTATCACGAACTACTCTCTTTCACTTTCTCTCTACAATTCCAGAGAGAGAGAGAGAGAGAGAGAGAGAGACGGCTTCTGATTGGTTGTAGGGTATTCATCAGAAAAAGTTGGACGGAGGTGGGAGTCCAAATTTTGAGAAAGATAGGGGGCAAAACTTTTGGGTAAAATGTGAGAATTGAGATAAGGTTTGGGAAACTAAGGTGACGGTTGAGATCGGTTATTTTAGGTGTTTTTTGATTTATTTTAGTTTGATATTGGTGATAAGTTAAATACTAGTTTTTGGATGAGGAAAAATAAAACTGTTTATATTGGTGTTAAATTGGTAATAAACAGTTTTTGATAAGCTTATCAAAAACTGTTTATTACCAGTTTACCATTTTAACCATGTTTTATTAATGTTTGTTAATTATTAATCTTATTGATATAATTTTTTGTCAAATAAATTATTATAAATGATGAAAATAAATTTTTACATGTTAAAAAATCAAACAAGTCAATAATATAGAAGACTGTCTTTTTTTGTCATTTTACATATATAAGCAAAATTTGTCAAACACTAAAAAACAACTTATCATCTTATTGTTTTTTGGTACCGCTATAAACTAATCCAAACATTTTTTTACAGAACTCCGGTTTGATACTACATAAGTTAATAAACACTTTTACAAAAAAAAAAAAAAAAAAACATAAGTTGTTTTAAATAAGCAATCCTAAACACCCCCTAATTAAAACTGGATTTCTAAAGGTGTGTGTGCGATGTTGATAATATCATTTTTAAAATGAATGTTGTAGACTAAAATTTGAAGTCGTCTTCTAAACAAATTTTAGGAAAATATGTGTTATAACAACTCATTAACATTAAAAGTTAATGGAGAAGTTGAAAACAATCTTAGAACCTTATACTAATTTAAGTTTTCTAATTATGCTCTAAAACGGTGTTGCAATGTACTCTATAAATTTTTTACTAACGTTAGTAGTTTGTTTAACTTGAAATCACAGTTTTAACTAAAATATCATCTAAAGTGATAAAGTCACGATTTTAATTTTTATAACAAATTTAATTGAAATCTCATTTGAAGTTATGAAGAAAAAAAAACATTCCATAATATTAGTGAAAATTTGAGCGATGCGTAAGTTATAGCAACGATAGTGGAAGCTCAAGATGATGCATAAAGAACCAAATCACCAAACTAAAATAATGTATGTTCCCTCATAAAACAATAAAATTAATATCTATTGGGGTCAATAACCCACATATCAGATATTAAACTGATAAAAACAAATATTACATTTCCAACCTTGAGAGTAATAACACCAAGATGACGGATAAATAACTACATCATCTAGTAGTATAATGTGCATTCTCATATAAAAAATAAAATACCAAGTAAGCTGAAGAATCATATATTATATATCAAACTGAGAACATATAATATACTTGATTTAAACATAAAAAACATAAGATTCATGACAAATATATAAACTAAAAGCATGTACTATATTTGATCTTAAGCAAAAGGTCGAGATTCAAAAAAAAAATGTTTGTTTCATTTTTAGTCATTTTTTTGTAGCAATCTCTCTCTTGCCACTTTCATTCTATCATCTAATGCGGGATGTAAGCAATACTGAGAAAAAAATTGATCATTTTCTTTTTGTATCCACCTCCCACATGTCTTTTTCATTATTTGATCCAATGTGAGATACAAATAATAATGTGAAAAAAATGATTTATAATGCTTAGAAGTTGTCACTAGATTATTCATGATTATTACTTTTACATAGATAAAGATATAAAAATATAGATTATAGATATATAAATATTATTTTTACAACTATAATTTTTACCAATTTTATGGTGTTGATTTATCATCAACTTTAAGTTATTTTTTATATTAGTTTTTGGTATATTTTTTTTTATAAAAGATGGCTGTCCAAAAAACAGGTCAACCTAAAAGTTGTACAAACTCTCTTAATTTTGAAAGATATCTAACTCTTTTTAAATATTCACTTATTTTGTATTATTTGGTTGATTTTGATTTCAATCATGTTATATATTTTGTATTATTTGTTTGGTTCCTCCTTTGATATATTATATTGATATTAACATTGATTGATGATTGATCTCAAATTTATATTTTTCTTCTTTCAGATACTTACCTCCGTCTTCAAATATATTACATTCTCATTGACTTGTGACAATACCGTAACATGTTGCTTCTTTATATATAGACTTATTTTATTTTACTTATAATTATATAATCAAGTTTAGGTATAATAAATGTAATTGTAGATTAAATTTCAGTTATAACAAATTAAAACAATCAATAAATTGTTCGTTATATTATTTTAAAGTTTTTAATTATAAAATATATATACATACATACTAGGTTTGACCCCGTGTATTGCACGGGGAATTTTAAATGAGAAAAATGAGTTGAGACTTTTCCTCAGGTATAAAAGAAAACTCTTAACATTAACTCTGAAACACAAAAAATCAGAGTTCTTTTGTTAGGCTGGAAAATAATTCTAGATTTTACTCTGAATAACAGAAATTCAGAGTTGTCTTCTAAGTTTATAAATTATCTATGAGCATAACTCTGAGTCACAAGAATTCTGACCTTTTTATAACTCAGAAACATGACACGTGTCCCCAAACTATATAACTAAGTTTGGAATAGAACAATTAAGAGTTATGTTTGAGTTTATTTTGATTTAGGGGCGAATCCTCTAAACGACCGGATCCGGGGGCAGAGCCCCCGGTGGTGGGGTCAAGTTTAGTTATAATAAATATAATTGTAGATTCAATTTCAGTTATAACAAACTAAAACAATCAACAAATTGTTTGTTATATTATTTTAAAGTTTTTAATTCAACTAGTACGGGAACCGTGCGTTGCGCGGTTAAATGAGTGCTTTGATTAATGATGTGAGGATTGTCTATGTAAATATATATTAATTGTTAATAAAATCATTAACAAATCATATTCAAATAATTCGAAAAAGTTAAATAAAATATAGTTAGTGAAATTTTAATACACACACACACACACACACACATATATATATATATATATATATATATATATTGAGTTTGTTTAGTAATAAAGTTGTAAAACTAAATAAAATGAGTAATAATAACAACGAAAATATTAAGAAATCTGACACAAACTTAAGAATAAAAAATACTACACAAAGATATGTTTCCTTCAAAGGATGATGTACATGTACCATTTTTCATCTTCAACACAAACCTTGACTTTAAAAACACAATAGTGAATGGACCAATCATACGATATGTAAAAAATCGCATACCAAACTTAAAACTTCAAATCTTTATAACCCAATAGATAAAATTATAATGCAATCAAAATCATAACATGAGCGTACATAAAATTATAATACGACTAAACTTACGATAAGAACATGCTTAAAAATATAATCCAATCAAAATCATGATACAAACATATATAACATTCTAATACACTCTAAATAACAAAACAAACTTGCATAAAATCCTTACTTTTGATGATAATCAAAAATTTCCACAACCCAAACTTGAAAAGTTCAAATTTTCAAGACTTGATATATAAACGTTAAAGACTTCGAAAACCTGCAAACCAAAAAACGTTCAACATAAGTAAAAATTACATGGTGAACTTGAACATTTTTAATCTTCACCTAATACATAAGAGTTATAATGCAAACAAAAATCACGATACAAACATAAATAAAATTATAATGCAATCAAAATAATAAAACAAATTAATATAAAATTATTACCTTATATTGCAACCAAAAAAACAAATATTGAACTTGAATACTTCTTCAAAKCTTCATGACATAATRCATAAAAACTATAATGCAATCTAAATAACGATACAAACATACATAAAATYGTGGGAAAAGTGAAAAAAAAAAAACTATGAAGATTATCAATAGTAAAATAGAAGAAAAACCAAAGAACATGAAACTTCTTCAAATCTTCATGACATGATGCATAAAAACTATAATGCAATCTAAATAACGATATAAACATACATAAAATTATGGGAGAAGTGAAAAAAAAAATATGAAGATTATCAATAGTAAAATAGAAGAAAAACCAAAGAGAAAAAAATAAATTTAGAGATGTATAAAATAGAGATATAATTTGAGAGGGTGTGAGAGATAAAGATAAATAAATAGTTGTTGTGTATAAATAGTTATTGTTGATGAAGCTTAAATTCGAAAAAAGTTTATCATATCCTGTGATTATAAAATATTAAAATTCTATTCGAATTTATATGATCAAATCGTAAACACAATTTATATGATCCAATCGTAAACACAATCATATCCTATGATAACAACACATCCAACAATATTGAAAAAGAAATATGTAATAACAAATCACATTTTTTTAATGAATATAATTTCTACATACCTTTTAAAATATTTGAATTCTTTTTCAACTCTCACATTCTTCAACCCTCACTAAAGGATTTTATATGATTTCATTTTGTTTATTATTGAAGCTTTAAAAAATAAATTTCATTAAGAAATAAAAGAAAGTAAATGGAAGAACAAATCAAGAGTTGGAGGTTAAACTTGGGTATACAAAATTACAAAAATAACCCGTGTTAATTATGAGCTATACATTTTTCATCCAGGGGCAAAAAAGTATTTAACATATTCAACATATAAAAAATCAAAAAAATGAGAAAAAAGATAAGAGGGGTTCTAAGCATTAGAAGATGTCACCTCATTACCTTTGATTTCTTTTTTAATATATACTAGTTGTGTATTCGCGCAATACGGCGGGAGCCATAAATTTTAACGATTTTGAAGTTCTACTGATTTTATAAGATAAGATTTAACGATGATATGGGTTACAATTGGTCTTTATATATTAATACAATTTGAATAAATAATAGTTATGGTTCCAATTACAG